GGACAAATCTTATTTTCCTTTATAACTCTATAGAGTTTAGACCCTGCCAGTCTTCGTGAGACGTATTAGTTTACCTAAATAGGGAGAGGGGGGGTGAACGAGGAATGAATTGCGTGGCGATGCCGAGTTATGCTTAACTATGCTTAACAATTGTGCAACTGTAAGTTAAATGCTTGCAAACGTTCAACCCCGTAGCTGTGCACTTGTAAGTGTGCAACTCCTTTGTTGAGCACGTCCTACACAGTGAGCGTTCAATCTAATGAAGTGTTAAGCAGGGGACTTAAACACTTACAATTGCACACGTACCGAGTTGAACACTTGTTAGTATTCAACTTGCAGTTGCACACTTTCAATTGTTAAGCGGGTTGTACACTTAGTTAACTCGGTACGAACCTTCAGGCATTTTACCATAGTAATAGTGTATTACAGTGTAAAACTCAAGATAGGGTGTAACTTGGCACTAACACACTTTCATGTGTGTGCTTTGCTATTCAAGTTCACTCGTCCTTGTGTGTTCGGAGAAGTGTTAAGGTTAGAGTGTATGCCTACGTCTGTTAATGTGCAAGGATACTCACGAAGTTATGCCGTATGCACGCGTGCGGGCGGGTTGCTTACTCGCACGGAACCATAAGGAGCCGTGACCAGCGATGCAAACCAGCCCACTCACGTGCAGCGGTGCTGTATAGTTACGAAAGTGCGGGCCGTGAATAAGTCACCTGGTTTGTGAAGGAAAAGTTGTTTTTTTTTGGGGGGGGGGGTGAACTTCCGGTACCCCTTCCCTAAAACTTGTGGTCCCCCAGATATTGCTGTAAGCCCAACCCCGGGATATTGCCATTCACAGCCGTTCGAAGTATCCCTGTAAAGCTTGGAAGTGTTTGGCATAAAAAAGTAAAGAACAGCTCATGACTAAGGAATGAAAGGCTTGCGTGACGTTTGTATGGGAGGGGCTTCGACCAGGCGGAACGACCCATTGCCCACCTGATGGATCGACGATAGGAGAGAAAGACGGCCAGGGTGGCCTCTGGCCCCCACTCTGATATTTTCATTATCGACCGTTAGGTTAGGTGTCTTAAGGTGTCCGTACACTGAGCGCGCTTTGTGTCCACCCCTGTCCGCGACGAAAAGTTCAGAGTAGCGGACAGCGGACATCTGCCTGGGCAGACTGACTGCGGTGCGAACACGGCGCGGACGCGGACACACTGAATGCGTTTAGCACCTTTACTGGGTCCAATCTAAAATAGACAAACAGTCCTAGGGGTCGCTTAAACTTACACAGCAAAGTCCGGATACATTAATGAACATTTTTTGTTGTTCTGTTTTCAGGGGAAACCACGAGCATCCGCGAGTCACATACATCTAAGGGCACGAGTCGAGTAGCGAAGACCAGTTCGGTTAAGTACAGCGGCAATGCGGCCTCGCTGGCGGCAACCACTGGGACTGTCGCCGTCCTCACCGCAGCTTCTGCCTCTCATCCCTCAGCGCCGCCATGGGAGGAGACTACCAGAGTTGAGCATATCACAACCACTCAATCCTCGACGACTCTGTCCACCGTCGTATCTCAGTCGGAATCATCCCAGATGGCGCTAGGGAATGATTCAGGCAAGACTGAAGTAACGTCACAAAGCAGCGAGGATGCATCGCAACACGAACATGGCGCTGGAGTTGTCAAATCACAAACAGGGAAGAGTACAAAGAAAAGGAACTCAAAGACATCGAAGGAAAAGGAAGGGAAAACTGCTTCCGTTGTTGGTAGTCGGGCCCATATTATTTCCATTGAGAACAAGAAAGTTGAAAGTGACCACGCTATCGAAAAGTATGGTGAAATGACAAGCCAGGTCTCCTCGATTGTTCAGGAGATAGCGCACGATACAGTGCTGAAAACTAAAGAAATCTCAATGAAAGTGTCTGATTTAGGTTCAAAGACAGAGCATGCTATAGAGAAGGGAAAGCAGGAGACGCAGGAGCCTCTCACCGAACTTCAAACCAATAACTCAAAGGGAAAAAGAGGAACACGGCGCCTGAGGCGTCAGACAAAGTCTGTTGATAGCTCTTCAGATATAAGTGAAAAGGCAGACAGGTTTAATTTAGATAAAACAAATAACTCTACCGAAACAACAATAGAGAAAGATGCTTTATCCGTGACATTGCCAGTAGAGCAAACCGAAAAAGCATCAGGTCATATTGCGGCTGACTCAATCGAACTAAAATCCTTACATGGTTCTGGAGACCAACACGACGTGAATAACCTAAGAATCGCCACTCAGGAATTATCAAATCGAAATGAAACTGTGAATCTGTCAGCTTCTCCGATGGAAGACTTTGCCCACCAAAGCTCATACAAAGCTTTAAGCCAGGAAGTTGGTGAAAATTTTTCTGAGCTAAAAGCAGAAGAAGTCTGCATTCAGTCCGAGGGGAGTGTCAGAAAGAGCTCCAAGCATGACATTTTGCAGGAGACATGCGAGGATGGCTCACACAAGACGGTCGAGGAAAAGGCTGAGGAAACGAAAGAAGAAAAACACGAGGCTCGTGAAAAAACAAGTTTGGAACGCAAGAGCAACGTGCAAGTTGACGAAAATGGAGGTATTGTAGAAGAGGAAATTACTATTACGACAACTGAGCAAAGTTTAAAACACGAGACTACAGTCTCCAAGTCCTGGACCATGGAAACGACAATCGAGACGCTGGCCGACGGGGAGACCCGTGTCATTGAGCGCATGATAATTCACTCGCCGCCACCAGGTTCAGCAGCCGATTTAGAGAAAGAAGGTATGGCATCAGGTGAAGGCAATCATGTCAAATCTGACCTAGAAGTGGCGAAGGAAGCCACAAGTCAGGCTTTATCACAAACAACTGCAGAAACATTGGAGTCCTCTGAAGGCGTAGACCGTGACTCTATTGTTACAACTACGAACATTTTGAAAGATTCACCTCTTAATAACCAGGCAGCAACGGACGAAACTAAAGAATTTGGTATAGTTGACGCCACACATGCAAGAAAATCTATAGAGAAAATTGGTGCTGCTCTTCAAAGTGCAGAGAAAACTCTTGAAGATGTTACAAGCGTCGATGGGGTTACAAATGTGTCCATAGCAAAGCACTCCAAAACAGATCACAATGCTTCAGAAAAAGGCTTGCAACTTGAATCTAGTACTACGGAAACCACCAAGCTCGAAGATGCAACTACGCAAAGGGAATTCGGTTTGATTGATCTTCAGGATGCAAAGAAGTCTTTGGAGCAGATCACAAATGCTTTGTCAGAAGCAGAAGAATCTTTTCCACTGCAGCGATCTCACGGCGATGCCAGAGAAATATCAAATGTTCAACAGAGTGATGTAGATGAGGATGGGAAAGAAACTTTTCACAAAGTCAGCGAAACATCTAACGACCGACACGCCGATGTAGATGAGAATGGCGACGAACTACTCAAGGAAGGCACGGTTTATGATAGAAAAATAACTGTACTAGCTGGAGAAACCCTAACTTCAATTGGTGAGGCGGCAAACGTTTCCCTTCAATCTGAGATTTTAAAAACTGATGCCTTGTCTGAGACTACAGAACACATCAGCACTGTAGAAAGTACTTCAAACTCCTCAATTATCCTGCAATCCGAAACTGGAAACGGAAGTGACAGCATACTTGACGTGCCTGACACAAGCGTAGAAAAAATGCACCAAAAAATTAAGACCGATGGTCCATCAGAGGTAGATGATAATCTCAACGGAACTGTAATAGAAAGCACGAAAGATGTAACGAAGGTTTCTCGTAACAGGTCAAACAGCAGTGATGCCAGTCTAGATGGACCTGGAGAGGTTGACGAAAACGGAAAGGTTCGCTCGATTGTTGTGCAGGGAGATTTCAAACATTCTCCTGAAAGAGTGGTCGACACTACAGCAAGCCCTGATGGGACAGACACGACGCGTCGTGTTACCCGACGCGTCAGATATACGTCCGATATGACGAAAATCCGACCAAAACGGTCCGAAAATTGTCGTATTCGACCAAAACACGACTACGACACGTCGTATTTTGGTCAAACATGACAATAACACGGCAGCATGACGAAAATACGACGTCGTGTGTGCGTCGGACACCCGACGTCAGCCACGCGACCGGACGACTAGCGTCGTATCTGACCAAAACACGACGTCGTATCTGCGTCGGACACGCCGACGTCTGCTTTAGTGTCTACACGACCGGACAACTAGCGTCGT